TAGTAATTATTGTTAATGGGGCTTAAGCTGACCTCAACAGCTTATAAAATCATAAAAATACAAACCAAATGCAGGACCAGGGAGATACTCAATGAGTTGGAGCACATTTGCATGTAAGCAAACAAGATTTGACCCTCTGCACCTTACATTAAAACCTGAGCACTAGCAGGACCGACTCCTGAGTAAGGAGCTAACAATAGCTTCCGGTCAAGGCAGGGTGATACCCTCCCCCCGCCCCCAAAAAAATCTAGCAACAACAAATCACCAAATGTAAAATGTAGCAACAAAGTTGACCAATAAATAAACAATTACTTACCCTAACACAAGGAAAACCTATAGGACCACTCTCCAGGTGGCCAGAGTCCCAGAGAGCAGTCAGTGGTTTTCCATAGACTAAAGCCAGACTACAGAAATTTTCTGCTCCCCGCCCCCCAATAAAGCTACCACAGCTACTCCATTATGTGACCCTGGTATATGTGTTAAGTAGCAATAACTTTTGTTTTGTTTGAGGGCCACACCTGGTGGTGCTTAGGCCTTTCTCTGGTTCTGTGCTCAGAGTTCACTCCTGGTGGGGCTCAGGAAATCTTACTGGGTACCAGCGATCAACCATGTATAAGCCAAGTGCCCTAACAACTACACTATCCTGCTGGCCCATTTAGCATCTTCTTTTCAAAACTATTTTTTAAAAAACCATTGAGGGGGCTGGAGCAAAAGCACAGCGGGGAGGGCATTTGTCTTGCACGCGGCCAACTTGGGTTTCATCCCTGGCATCCCATATGGTCCCCCAAGCACCACCAGGAGTGATTACTGAGTAAAGAGCCAGGATTAACCCCTGAGCACTGCTTGGGTGTGCACCCAAAAGCCAAAAAATCAAAAATTAAAAAAAAATATTGTTATGAATATTCACGCTTATGCCATCATTTTGTTAAATCTTTACTTGAGGGGCCGGAGCGATAGTATAGCGGGTAGGACTGATTGGGGTTCGATCCCCAGCATCCCATATGGTTCCCCGAGCACCTCCAGAAGTCACTCCTGAGTACAGAGCTAGGAGCAACCCCTGATCATTGCTGTGTGTGACCCAAAAAGCAAAAAAAAAAAAAATCTTTACTTGATTCCCATGACATTTCCAAACATGTGGACATTTAATCTATTTAATTTTTGTTTTGTTTGGGGGCCATACTCAGCAGTGTTAATTTTAACCTCCTCCTTTTCATTTTATATTTATAATTTCTTTTTTCTGTTCTAATTATGCTGTCTAGTGCCTTTAGAAAGCTATTGAGTTATGATAATGATGAATGTGACTGTGATGTTTAAAAATATCTCCATAATTTTTTTGACATTCATCTTTTCAGAATGTGACACAACTAGGAATCAACTCCAGAAACTCTTGATCTTTTTGTTTGTTGGGGGTCACCTGTGGTCATGTTCTTCGACTCAGATTGTATCAGATCCCCTTTGAATTGTATCTCCAGCTCTGAGAAGCTCTTGTTTTTTAATTTATTTTTCTATATTACCCCCATTTACAATTCAGCCTGGGCTGAGGTGTATATGGCGTGAGTTTACTGTACCTCCTCTTTCTCTCTCCTTTTTTTTGGGGGGGGGGGTCATACCTGGCAATGCTCAGGGGCTACTCCTGGCTCTGCACTCAGGAATTACTCCTGGTGGTGCTTGGGGGGCCATATGGAATGCCAGGGATCAAACCAGGGTTGGCCACATGCAAGGTAAACTCCCTACCCGCTATACTATTGCTTGGGCCCCTGTACCTTCTCTATCTATACAGCTGGTAAAAAGCACACCCTATAGTAAGCACCAAGCGGCCAACTCTCTTCCTCTTGTTTGGGGACCACACCCAGACATACTCAGAGCTATATCTGGCTCAGTGCTGAGGAGTCCCAAGCTCAGGGGACCGTGCAGAGCTTGAGATCCCAAGCCCAGGCTTCCTGTATGCAAAGCATGTACTCAGTCTATTGAACTCTCTCCTGCCCCAATGCTCCTGTTCTTAAGTAGATACTGGGCTGAGTGACTTGCTTTTATCAAACAGAAATAAAGTGGAAAGGACAATGTGGGCTCTGGAGACTAGGTCATAAAAAAAAAAAAAGACAGCTTCTCTTCACTTGGTTCACTAAGTTGGCAGGTAGAGGGTTAGGGGGGAGGGCATGCCAATTTGTATTGAGCAGGACTCTGGTCAATAGCAAGTTTAGAAGTAGATCTCTTCTTCTAGTAAATTCTTCATAAACTGGAGTCCTCACTGATATCTGACCACAATTTAGAAAAAACAAGTCAGGGACTGGAGTGATAATTCAGCAGGTAGGGCTTTTATCTTGCACTCAGCTAACCTGGGTTTGGTCCCTGGCACCTCCATATGGTCCCCTGATTCCAACTAGGAGTGATCCCTGAGCACCACTGCCAGGTGTGCCCTCTTCCCTGCAAAGAAGAAATCAGGTCAGCCTCATGATGTTGTTGGTGCAGTTTTTGTTCACTGAAGTAGATTACAAATGGATTTAGGGGAAACTTACAAAGTTTTAAAAACAAAGTGTTATGTGCTTGGACAGAAAGGGACAATGACAGTGCTAAATGAAGAGAATATCCAGACACCTCCACACCCCCACCCTAAACAGAACATAGCAGGAAGGAGCTGAGAAAACTACTTAGGCCTAAACAATCTACAGAACTGGAAGGATCACACAGGGGGTGGGACCAAGAGCCCAGAGAATGGAGGCAAGAACCACCAAGTTCTCCCGGGAAAGAATGACTGAGTCCTAATTAAAGAATCAGTAACATCTGCCCAATGGGATTTCAGATTTCTTGGGATCAGTGACTTCAGTGCCTATTATTTCTCCATTTTGTTGCAAGGAAAGTTCTATGTAGCTTCCTAAGCCTCAGCTAGTGTTGCATGAGGTGGCAGTTGAATAGATGATCTGTCTTTAATTCGCAGACGTTCATATGAAGATCTTAAAGAGTTACACTCAAGGAACTGTACCCTCAAATCTTATCAGTCCAAGGACCTCATAAGATATTAGAAGTTGGTGCTCTAACAGGAACTTGCATTCTGAGGAAAGAAGTGAGTATACTTTGCACATTTAAAAAAAAGTTTGTGGTGGGGTGCGTGACAGCACACTGGTAGGGTGTTTGCCTTGCACACAGCCAGCCCGGCCGAGCCGGGTTCGATTCCTCCGCCCCTCTCAGACAGCCTGGCAAGCTACCGAGAGTATTCAATATGCCAAACATAGTGACAAGAAGTCTCACAATGGAGACGTTACTGGGCCCGCTCGAGCAAATCGATGAACAACGGGAGGGCAGTGTGGCCAGATAATAAATTCTGGAAGCTTCAAAACATGCCCTCAATTCTTCTTCTTTTTTTTTCTTCATTTTTGGGCTACACTCGGTGGTGCTCAGGGGTTACTCCTGGCTCTACAATTCAGGGATTACTCCTTGCGAATTCAGCAGATTATATGGGATGCCTTAGATTTAACCTGGATTGGCCATGTGCAGCAAGGCAAGCACCCTACCGCTTGCACATGCTCCAGCTCCGACATTCCCTCAAGTCTTCTCTCATCTGATTCTGAAGCTGCTTGACTAACAGAATACAGTACAGAAAAATGATTCTTAGGGGCAGCGAATGAGGAGGAGTGGGGAGGTGTGGGCACACAATCAGAGGTGAGGGGTAGAGGGTTCTTGTTAACATTGGATGTACATGGATGAACCTAGGAGAAGGTTCAGGAATAGATTAAAGTTCCATCAAGCAAAGAATCTTGGTCAAAAAAATCTGCAAGTTTCCATTCCATTGACCTTTTTTTTTGGGGGGGGAGAAGGGGGGGTTGACAACACTCCCTCTAGGAATGAAGATGCCATTTTCGGAGAAAAGTGGAGGCTACACAGAAAGGTTATCTGAAGGCGTTTTAGCAGCCTCGACTGAGGTCGCAGCAAGACAAGCCAGTATAACGAATAAATTTAAGAATAAATTTAAGTATAAGAATAAATTTAAAAATAAATTTAAGTATAAGAATAAATTTAAGAATCTGCAGCCCTTGAGAAGACAGCTTCCCAGTCATGAAGCCTGCACCCACAGAGATCCTAAGTGAGATCTTAGGAACCCAACGTCTACTGACCACCCCCCCCCCCCCCCACACACACACACCAACCAGCAGGACCAGAAACAATAACAACATGACTGCCGGTTGCTTGGGCCACGGCACCCCAACTTCAAACTCAGGGTGGCCACAAGGCTCCCTCCCCTCCCGCAATCAAGCAATTCCTGGAAGTCTCCAGAGAGCACTTTCACTGGAGCGCTGGTTGGTGGACTCTCACGTCAATCTAGATATATTGCCCAATAAATCTTTCAGTTAAAAAAAAAGCCGAAAGTCTATTGGCTGAAAACTCATCACTCTCTCCATCTATAGTGTGGGCAAAAGTAGCGCTAACGGTGAAGACCACAGAGGGGCAAAGCGCCTCAGGAAGTTGCCTTTAGAATTACTTCCAACGATGCGCTCCAGTGGAGTCTGTCCGGGGCTGCTAATGAAGTACCACTGAGTCCATCCAAAGAGGAAAAAAAATATTTTTTTGACTAATTTTTTTTTTTTAATCCAGGGTGTAGGAGGGAGACTCACGGGAGCCGGGAATCAAGCGCTTAGTCGTGATTGCCCAGTTCGCCCGTCAATCCGCTCGCCCGCTCCGGATGGGCGGGACCGACGGCGCCTCGAGCCCCGCCTCTTCCTGGGCCGGCGCGTCGGGAGGCAGCAAGTGCGCCGGGGCTGGGATCCCGCCTCCGGGGCGGGGCCGCGCCGCCCTGTCCGGACGGTCCGTCGGTCGCCTCGCGGGGAGCGCCTGGAAGCGCGCGGCCGTGCGGGGCGGGCCCCGGCGAGGGGCGAGCGCGGGGGGCGGGGCCGGGGCGGGGCCGGAGAGGCGGAAGCGGCGGCCGCGCTCGAGTGGGAGCCGTAGAGCAGGCAGCGTCCGGGCCGGCGGAGCGGCGTCGGCGGGGTTGGCCGGGGCGGCGGGGCGCTCGAGAGCCGGGGCGGCGGGCGGCGGGCGCGGGGCGGTGCTGCCGGGAGGGTCGAGGCCGGGGGAGCGGGCGACGGGGCGGGCTCGGCCCCCGCGCGGGCTGCGGAGCGGGTTCGACTCCCGCCCCCGCGCAGTCCCGGGGAGGATGCGGCCGGGGGCCCCAGGGCTGGGCGGGCGGCGGCGGCGGCTACTGCAGCCGCGCTAGCGGCGCGGAAGGGTGGGCGGCGGCGGCGGCATGAGGCGCGGGGTCGACGCCCGCGGGAGGGAGGTGCTGCCGGCGGCCCGGCCGCTCCCGCTGCTGCTGCTGCTGCCGCCGCTGCCGCTGCTGCTGCTGCTGCTGCTGCCGCCGCTGCCGCTGCCGTTGCTGCCGCCGCTACTGCCGCTGCTGCCGCCCGCCGGGCTCGCTACGCCCTGCCCGCGGGGCCCCGGCCGCTGTCCTCCGGGCCGCCGCTGGTGACCCGTCGCCGCGCCGCCGGAGCCTTCACCCGCGCCCTCCCCCAGGACGCGCCCGCGGAGCGGCGGCCCCTTCGCGCGGCTTCGCGGAGGCCGCCGGCGCCGGGGCCGGAAGATGGCCTGGGTGCTCAAGATGGACGAGGTGATCGAGTCCGGGCTGGTGCACGACTTCGACGCCAGCCTCTCGGGCATCGGGCAGGAGCTGGGCGCCGGCGCCTACAGCATGAGGTGGGTACCGGGCGCGCGCCTCTGGTCAAGGCCTGAGCGACCCCGGGGGGCCGTCCGCCGGGGCGGGACGCTGGGCCCCCGCGGGGGCCCGGGAGGGTTTGGGGCCCTGCCGCGTGGCCGTTGGGGCCTCGGGTGCCCACCGCGGCGGCGGGCTGGCGGGTGGGTGGGTGGGTGGGCCGGGGACCCCCCCACCCCGGCCTCCTTTTCTGCAAAGGCGCCCCGCTGTGCTTGCCCCCCCCCCACCCCGTGGTAGGGTAAGGGGGTTGCACCCGCCCGCTGGCTGGCCTCGGGGTTACAGTGTCAAGAGTGGCCGGACTCACAGTGGGAGAATTCTCCCCCAGATCTTGCTATCGGTTCCCTCTTCTTTTGCCCTACATTGTAGTCTTTTTCAGGTTGCGATTCATCCTCTATCACTTGATACTTGCAATAATCATTGGAAGGCGAAGTAGCCGCCAAGGAGGTGGGGGTGGGGGTGGGGAGTGGGGAAGCACATGGGCTCGGTTTGAAGGTGTTTAAGTTAGATTGCCCCAGCGTGGAAATGTGCCTGTTGGGGGGATTCGAACTCTCAAGACTGACCCCTGTAGAAGCAGCTTTTAAAATTGCGGTCCACGGGGCAGGGCCCTTAGGGGCAAGGTGGGAACGTTGGCTCCACACTCAGGGATGGTTTTCCAGGTTTTCCAGTAGCTTCGCTTGAGCCCGAGCCTTGGACGTGGAGGGGAGGTTTTCCAGTGTGCCGGGGTCACGCCCGATAGTGCAGCCCGACAGCGCAGCGGTGCGTGAGCGAATTGGAAGGTCCGAACACGCCACCAGGATGACTGTGCTGGGGGCTCCTAGAGATGTGCTCGCTGGCAGCCCAGCAGGTGCTGTTCTCCAGAGTCCCCTGGTTGATGCAGTGAAGTGGTGAAGAACTGGGTCACCGCTTGGCATGTGCACTAGATAGGACAAAACAACTCAAAACAACTCTGCTAACGATTATTGCAAAGGACAGATGGCTTTGACAAAATCGTGCCCCTTGCCTCCCCAAACTAAAGCAGACTGCTGGAGTTTGAAGAATACGTAAAACGAAGTCAATGAGTTGTGCAGTAATTGCACCGCAGACAGTTGTTTGGTCTCTGTACTTTCCCCCAGGAGCCTCTGTTATTTTATTTATGGCTTTGAAGGGTTGGAAGTATCCTGAACTTGGTCCTTATACTGAGAGTGTCGCATTTAAATGATTACCTGGCTGCTGTTTCCTCTACTAATTTTTTATTTTAAGAGCAGTGTTATGGGAATAGTTTATGTACGGCAAGCTTGCCCAATTAAAGTGTGAAGGTCGGTGGTTTGGGAGCGTTTCTGGCTGTGGGAGCTGACGTTTTTCCCAGCATGTGCCGTACTGTGGTGGCCGGTGTCTGAATGCTGACCTGGCCTTGGAGGCTTTGTTCATCTTCCCGGAGCACAGACTTGGGGTGAGGGCCCTGCTTCACTGGTGGGGATGGATTGCCAGGCCCTGCTGACTTTCAGGCCTCCCAGAGAAACTGCGGGTTGTCAAAAGCTCAGACAGATGATGTTCCCTGAGCATTTGCAAGTTGGAAGTGCCCAGCTGCTAACCCTGCTTAGGTCTGTACTGGTCACTGGTCGCCTTGAACTTGGCACTTTCTTTGCAATTGCGCAACCTGAGGGCTGTTGACGAGGTGGCTAGTTCTCTAGAACAACTGTTTTAGCTGGGAAGAAGATTGAGCTATTGAAGTGCACAGGGTTGCCCCTGACATTCATTCCTGGAGGCCTGGTGAAAGTTCTAGGCCTCCCTGAGACACGCCCTCAGGCCTTGGAGAAAATGAGGCAGATTGCCATCTTGCTTCTGAGTCTCCCGGTAAGGTGAATCGGTTTGCTCATTGAGAGTTCTTTGGAACTTTTGCTTGTCTTTTTACTAGAGTTGTGTTTTGGTGATTCAGCCAACTAATTAATAATTTGTTTATGGGTTCTTCTATGAAAAGCCTATAAAATCTCTGCCTGACCTTGTTCCTAACGCAGTGCCTGACGTCTTGTCTGTAGTGTGTTTCCAACACTTTCCATGTGATTATTTTCCCACTCATGTCTTTTGGTTATTTAATCTGAAAGCTAGAATATCTTTGAAAAGAAATGATTTTGCGGGGAGGAGTTACACCCAGTGGTGCTCAGGGCTTACTCTTGGGTCTCTGCTCAAGGATCACTCCTGGCAAGACTCGGGGGAGCCTATGGGATTGTGAGGACTAAACCCAGGCTACATGCAAGGCAAGTGCACTACCTGATGTGGTATGACTCCAGCCCCCAAACAAATGATTTTTAAGGAATTTATGTAGTTACTTTTTCATAATCAGGACCTCAAAAACTTAGAAGGGATTGAGATGATGTGCCTCCTGCTTTGCCATCAAGGCTACTTATTTAAAACCTCAGAACATTCCAGGAACACAGCCTCAAGATGCCTTTGGGATCGTTGTGAATATTCAGTTCCATTTGGGCCCAGAGCTAACCGGGTCTTTTCTTTGCAATGTAGTATTTTCTCTTTTTCTCATCAAGATGTTTGTCTTTTTTCATTTGGAGAACTAAACTGGAGATGCTAAACTTGGAGAGATTGTTGAGAGAGTAACTTCTCGATAAAAATTTTACTTTGTAGGCAGCTTTCCATTTTTCTTATAGATTGAAGTACACTTTCTGTATTTGGATGCATTTTATGTGCGGGGCCTGGATTTGATTCTTATGATGGCCAAAAATATCCCAAACTTTTTTTTGGGGGGGGGGTGCATCATGCCCAGCAGTGCCCAGTGCTTAACTCCTGGCTCTGTGCTCAGAAGTCACTCCTGGCGGGGCTGAAGCAGGGGACCCTTTGGGGTGCTGGAGATTAAACTTGGGTCAGCTGCATGCAAAGCAAGCACCCTACCCACTGTACTATCTCTCCAGCCCCAAAAGATGTATTTTTGATGTATTTCTCTCTGCTTTTTAAAATTTTTTTGTGGGGAGAGGGTTAGGAGGCTTGGGCAACCCATAATATGCTGGAGAAGTTACCTGTTCTGTTAATTGTGGGGATGGTTTGCTCCCTGAGGTGCCAGGGGACAGGGACCTTGCAGTGCTGGAGATAAAACCTGGGGCTGCTGCATACATAGCGCACTGAGCTTTTGCTGGGCACTAACTGTATTTTAGATGCCTTGAAACAAGATTTTCTTTAAAGAAAAGTTTATTCATTTTTGGTCTTTTGGGTCACCCTTGGTGGTGCTCAGGGGTTACACCTCGGTCTGCACCCAGGAATCACTCCATGCAGTGCTCAGGGAACAATATGGGATGCTGGGAATCAAACCCTGGTCGCCACATGCAAGGCAAGAGTCCTCCTGCTGTCCTATCACTCCGGCTCCCCAAGCAAGTTATTTTTTAAAGACTTAGAGAGTGATTTCCTTAATTTTGGGGAAAGTGGCTGGAGAGAAAGATGGTTTTTCTCAATAGTCTTATTTACATTCAGCCTGTAGACTTACAGTTATTGGTATATATAGAGTATATAGAGGCTAATTTTTTATACTATCTGTGCTTTTTTTTTTTTTTGGTACCGGCTCTCAGTGCAGGAGTTTTTGTGTACTGTTATATCACATTTGTATGTGAACTACAGATACTGCTTGAAATAAGGTAGGCTCATATATGGTTTTTCAAATTTTAGGATTCAGGGATGGATAAAGAGATCTTAGAAAACTTCTGGACCAGTACTTTTCCTTTAAGTGAGCAAACTGAGGCTCATGGATCTTAGTGATTGGCCCAAGAAGTTTGCCCATGACTATGTGAATCCAAGGCTGAGTTTCAACAGAGTCTGAAACCTTTTGTAACTTGATATCTGGGCACTTATATTTTGTGAAGTAAGTATATAATCAAATCACTTTTAAAAATAAAACTTTTTAGCAGGGTCTTTGTGGCACCCTGATAATTTTATCTTCTCACCATTTTCATCTGTAACAAGTCAAGTTTCAGGATTTAAGGAATGTCTTTTGTGGTAAATCATTCCCTTCAAAGAGCTCTGAGCCTTGTTAAACTTAGCTATCATGTATCTATATGCCACAGCTAAATTTTGGTATATTTTGAGACAAAAGGTATTTTTTGTATAGTCTAAAGTGGGAGATACAGGGGGCTGGAGCGATAGCACAGCGGGTAGGGCATTTGCCTTGCACATGGCCAACCAAGGTTCGATTCCCAGCATTCCATATAGTCCCCTGAGCACCGCCAGGAGTAATTCCTGAGTGCAGAGCCAGGTGTAACTCTTGTGCATCGCCGAGTGTGACCCAAAAAGCAAAAAAAAAAAAAAAAAAAAAGTGGGGGATGCAACCATAATTTACAAACTGTTAAATCAAAAATTTGTGTTTAACAAATTTCCTGTTAAAAACGTTGGATCCTTCAACGTAATAGGAAAATGTCCAATTTGATTAATGTTTGTTTACTAAGGATATCATTATTATTAATTTTTGCTTTTTGCGTCAATTCCAGCTATGCTCAGGGGTTCCTCCTGGCTCTGCACTCAGGAATTACTCCAGCAGTGCTCGGGAGACTATATGGGATGTTGGGGATTGAACTTGGGTCGGCCACGTACAAGCTAAACACCCTACTCACTGTACTCACTAAGGATATTATTGCATAGCTATTAATGACTGATAATTTTCTTTAGATCTTATGCTAAAACAATATACTTTTGTTGGTGACATGTTTTGAGAGTACAGAAAAAAATTAGAGTCAGCAGAATTTCAGAAATTGGGCCATACCTAGCAGTGCTCAGTGTCTGCTTTGGACTCACTTGAGAATTGTCCAGGTGATGAGCAGCCCGTTGGTGAACTCCTGCCTGTAAAACATGCGCTCCAGTGCCTGGAACTATATCCCTGGCATTTCAAATTTTAGAAACTTTTTTCCTGCATTCTGTCTTGGTTGAAATATTGGAAAGAATTAATAAGTGGTTAATTTAAATACCATTGATCTAAAATTACAGTGTCCATGCTGGTAATTTAAATTTGTTACTT